AACATCACTGTGCTCCAAACTCCAATATTCAGCATCCAGACACACTAAAGCATCTGAAACCCAAGGAAGTTTCTCACCAGAACCATCACAGAGGACAAGAGTTGTTTTCAAATTTACACTGATAGATTTTGCAGGGAGTTGCCTCCCTCTCTCTCCCAGAACAGCTGTGCAAAACTCACACACACTCACAGGATTAAAGCTACCTCAGCATTTTCTTTCACTTGCAATGAATGCAAKTTTTTTTTTTCAAGTGCTAAGAGTTTTGTTCATCAAAATGGTATTTTATGTTTAGTCAATTATTCATTCTAGCRATAACAAGCAGAGCAATATAGAGTTCAAAATATGCTCCAGATGGTAAAAACACAAATCAGAAATAAATCAATTTATAAAAAAGGAAGAGATTTGTTTTTATTGCCATAATTTTACTTTAATATATTCACAAGCTTCCTTCTGGTTCTAAATTAGCCCAGACTACTTTGAGCTAATATCACTCTGAATTTGGAGAGAYTCAGAACTTATGAGTTTGGTTTTTTTTAATAAAAAAGTGTGATGCCAGACGCCAAAATAATTCATATCAGAAATATACTTTAATGGGGCAAAACCCCTCGAGAACAAACATTTCATCACTTCAACTGTTCCCAGTGTGCATTAGTAAAAGGGACACACTCACTGCAAACCCTAAATGAACCATGCCTGGAGAGGAGATGAAGCCAGATAACTGAGCCACACCAGAGAGATTGAGAAAGGATAAAAGTGGAATGTGACCCTGCATTTTTAAACAGAGATAAGAAAAGAGCTTGATCTTACCATTATACTATTCTGGTACAGTTCATTTTTTTTTTTTTTTTCAAATTGAATTAGGCTGCTTTGGATATCAAACACATTCTGGCAGGTGTCTGGCTTAACAGTTTTGAATATAATTTCAAATCTCCACAGCACTAATGCATAAATTGAAGTGTAGACTGGAACCAAGTGTCTGTCCATACAGCAACACCACATTTCCATTTATCATCTATTCMATGCAACACCCAGCAATTCCAAGGTGATGCTGCTGATTTCAGGAACTAACATTCACCACAATAATAGCAATTATATATAATATATAGAATAATAATAAATTATTAAAATAATTGACAATACTTTTCTGAGGACCGCCTATGCAGAGCGTAACAACAAAACCTCTGCATTAAAATGATATAATCATTCTTCTCACTTTAAGTAACATGATCAGAAAACTACAGCAGAAGAAAAAAAAAAAAAGCTGAATTTTTATTTTAGTTCTATCAGCACTGTTTACATTAAAGGCAAGCATATATTACAGGTAAAGAAATATTTGTACAAACCCACATGTACTTGGTCACTAAACCAYTGGCAAAGCTTCTGGAGTCATTATCCCAAGGAAATTAATAAARATAAACATTCAAAATTTAAAAAACTCCATGTAACAGTCAAGTTGCTGAATCCTAGAACAACTCAGGGWAAACCCAGCTAAATTCAACTTTCAGCTCCACAGAAAATAACCAGCAGTAATTTCACCTATTGAATTTATCCAAGTCCACCACTGCAGGGTTTTGYCCAGCTCATGCAGTAAAATGCTTTATAACAGAAACCTTGCATGGGGGTTAAAAAAAAACCCCAAACCAGAACCAAAAAATGAACATGGTATGATATAACCACTAAACAAAAAAGCACAGAATGGGTGATTTGAGAAAAATTACGAAACTGAATTGAAATTCTTCACACGAGTAATGATATGCACAATCAGGCCCATGGTAACTGAGCACAATAAATATATAAACATTCATTAAAGATCTATCTGCCTGAATTTATCTTTGCTTTCTCTCCAGTTCTTATGAGTTATTCAATCACTTCCCATCACCCAGAAAAGGAAATATTGGACTATGAAGACAGAGCTATAATTAGATATTCTTCTATTTCATTTCACATCTATGACTGAATGAGAATGGATGGGAAAAATATGAACAGAGATAATAACAGTAAGTTGAAACCTTCAGTAAAAAAATATATTGGGCACAGAAATAACATCTCAATTCTTCCTCAGCACATAATGCTGTGTTTACCACAAAATTAGTTAAGTTACTATAAGAGATTTTTAATGAAAACAATTATAAATTTAAAATAACTGTGTTTAAAGCATTTAACAGTCCCTGAGGTCAAGTGATTACAGCAGTTACAAGACCCAAGGGACATGTTCACACCAAAACAAAGTGAATAAATTACCTCAGCCAGTGCATGTAATCACTAAGTGACCACAGAGGTTATTCTATGTATAAGCCCCGATGACTTCCATGCAAAASCAATAATGAAAATGTAACAGCCAAAGGGAAAAAGCATTAAASCAGCAAAAGTTGCAGGAAGGGCTGGGAACTCAGAAAAGTGGGAAAGAGAGCGTGGAAAGCACATTCCATGACTTGGCTAAGGAGACTGTGAAGAAGGATGAGTTTTAGTGAAAAGGACAGACAAAATGCTGAACATTTTTCCCAGGTGAGAGACCCAAATTGTAGCAAAGGTATGCAAGACTCAAAAAATATAAACTGCAGAGCTGACAGCACTGCTCTCAGCCCTGTACAACTCTGGCATATGGAATACCACAAAGTACATGCAAGGCAGGAGCTCAGAATCATCATCTTTTAACTTCCCCTTGGCTTTATGGCCAAAAAAAATTTTTTGGACGGTTATTGTGTCTTAATTATGCCATGGTATCATTCTAATGGAAGCAAGACCCTGTTTTTTTAGCACAGAGCAGGTGAGATAAGCTGCAGAATGAAACCCAGCTTTGATCTGGTTTCTCTCCCTCATGACATAAATGATACAGGTGCCTTGTCTTCATTACATGCCCATGAAAGACAGGAAATCATTTTTCTACAAGGGCAACCTCATATTTGATAGCAGYTCTCAGTGGGTATCTTTGGAATAAGGTGGAAGAAGAAGCCTCCCACCATACTGAGGGAAAAAAAAAGAAATCCTGCTTGTTCCTGCCTGCCTGAAATGTGTTTTTTTAACTATTGCACATCATCACCTCACATCCTTGAAGGTGTTAAATCTTCACAATACACACAGTAAATAATAACACAGTAAATGGAAAAACACAATTAGCACATTTGCTGAAATAAAGTGGCAAAAGGACATGCCTGACTTTAGTATTTTGATTCCTGGTGAGGATACACTGAAGCAAATATTCACCAACATTCCCACAGGGAAATCAATTTGCTGCTTCACCCTGTGCCAGGAAACKAATAACTGGTATTGTCATATATGAATATATATATGAAAGAATGCAAGTGGACYCTGTGCATGTGAAAAAAGGGTTTCTCTGTAGCTGAAATATGAAAGCCTGAGGCCAAAGCCAGTAGGTCCTGACAGTGAAATGTTCCAGTTTGAGTGAAAGTGACTGCAAAATTTGCTTTCTCAGATAAATATTGCACTGTCTTCTACAAGTAGAAGAACAAGAAGAATATGCTAAAAAACACCCTGGTGAACTATCAAGGCTGGAACACAACCTATTCCAAGGGTCACAAATCTTGTGTGGTGGATGTTAAGCCAAAGCTGCCTGGCATCCCTAACAACTGGTCCCTACTGGAGAACAGTGCTGCCCATCTGCTCTGGAACCCTGCCCCTTATTCCAGGAAAGTTGGGACCACCAGATGCTCTGCCTTGGCTGCTCCTCACCTGCTCATCCTCCATCCCAACCCCAAAATCTGCACAGAACACCCACAGAATGTGATTCCTGCTTTGTCTCCTCCCTCATCCCATAGCAGATCTACCTGYTTCTCCTGCCTCTTCTAACTTCCCATTCCTGATGTTACATTTTGTGACTAATTTTTAGCCTCTCAAATCTAGTACCACTTTCTGGAAACAAGAACAATAAAACCAAATTACAGTGACGTGGAAGTATTCGAAAGCCCCAGTCCCACATGCACAGCAATGAAAAGAAGGAAAAACACGCTTTAAAATCAGTTTGTGGAAATCAGAGGAGGTCAGGTAAAAAGAACACAAAGAAAATGCAAAGGATGACAAGACAGACAATGTAGAAGTTCTTCTATTTAAAAATTCCTTTTGTAAATCCTAGTGTTCCTTACATATGCTCTTGGAGGGCCAGCCAAGGAACTCCAGTGCAATAAAATTATTCTATTAAAGGYAYRTAGAGATGCTGCCATCAGCCAGCASGCAAGGGAGARTGCASTAAAGCCTGATGACAAAACTATGYTTTGAAATATTTTTTMTATAATGCTGTAAATTCATTCCAATGTTTTTTGAAGATCAGCTGCTCAAGGAACCTTCAACACTGGGTATTTCTAGAGCCAAGAGGTGACATGGCAGTGCTCAGCCAGCCTATCAAAGGCATTTATAACAGGAGCATCCTGCACAGGTTCCCTTCCTTCATTTTGGTTTTCTGCTGTTGCTGTTTAATTGCCCTCAATTCCAGCAATACTCTGTCAGGGCACTGCTGTCAAAACACAGCAGAATATGAAAGGTGTTCTGCCAAAAAGAGATGCTGACTGCCCGTGATCAAATTCTAAATGCCAGCACTCCAACTCAAAGGGGCAAGCACGGGAATATCACCCCCAAAAAAATTCTCCTCTTCCAAACAAGTATTATTGAAAAGGACTTTCATCATTTCCAAGAATGCTATAACTTCCACTTAAAGTGCTGCTTTAAGTCACAGTAAACCCAAAACACTGAGCAGCAGTTTTGGCTGTGGGGATAAAACCCTTCAGCACTGGATCCTTTGCACGAGGTGCCACCACCTCCTCAGTGACAGAATATTTTCCCCAAGGTAATGCAGAAATACAGCAAAATCTCTAAATTTGTCTTAATTAACAGAATTAAAGAGAGCCTAGAAACAGCACATCACACGAGGACAAGCCAAGAGAGGGTGGGGGGAAGATTTCCAAGCGCCCTAATTCAATTAGGAGGCAGTGAGTGACACTCGGACAGGAGAGGTTAATTGGGGTCACCAAAAGGCAGTAATTCCTTACCTAACCAGTCATTAAACTTCTTAACCTCGGAGGGCAGTCCCAGCTCGGTGAAATCGCCCGTGTGCAGGAGGATGTCCCCATAAGGCATCTGGATGCCATCTGTTCTGGAGTGCGTGTCCGAGACGCAGACAAAGCGCGTGTGGCCCGCTGGTTTGGGAGTGTCATATGGGATGGGATCCACCCTAAAGCAGACACAGAGATCTCGTTACAAGGTTAAAAACCTCCCATTTGTTATTGCAGGTATCAACAAATGTCTCTATTGCAGGTATCAACAAACATCTCTGTCCACACACACACCAGCGACACAACGCTGCCAAAAATCCAGGAGGGATTCTTCAAAACTTACCTGGGAAGAAAGGAAGATAAAAATACACATATTTTTAAAGGTAAAAATAGCTTTAAAAATAAAGATATGGCTGCTTTCTGATACTAATGTTTATTTAAACATTGGGAAAATGGATTTAAGAGACATTTCACATYATCTGTTGTGTTTCACATCATCTGCCTTACACATGAACAGGTAGAGGGACCATAAAATAAAAGGACACTCAGGTGGGTCAGGAAAAGGCTCTCACCTGAGCTGAGCAGCCTTGCAGCTGATTCTGATCAAGGATACAGAACTCCTAAAGATTCCAGCATAGAGGATTTGTTTACTCACAATTAGGTACATTTAAGACTGGAAATTGCAAAGCTGAGTCCGGTGACTTTTAGGCAAAGCTTCCTAAACTCATGCAAAATCCTGAGCCCATCTTTACCCAAAATCTATAAACTGATGTGCTATAACACGAAACAACAACATATAAAACATTCTTTTTGCATAGCCAACAGTGTTCAAAAATTAGTTCAATTGATTATTTGCAAGCTATGTTTGGAAATTTGGTCTTATCAACTACCTGTCACCCACCAYAGAAGTTTGGTCATCTGTTTTTGGTGATTTTTTTCCTTTGTTTAAGCAGAATAGAGAAAAATAATAGGTAAGAAAAATGCTTTATGCATACTTAGTGGTTAGAAGCCCTAATTTGTAACAGAATAACTTAAATACAAAAGGCAGCCCATTGCCTACTTTAGAATAGCAATTATTTCTCTGCAGAGTCACCATAATTTGATTTGCTCAGCACTTGAATAGCACAGCATCTGGATTAGTGCCACAGAAAATCCCATCCCAATTCCACAAAACTTGATGTGCCACTTTGATCATGGTTAGAGCTTAGCTTCAGCTGGAAATTTTGAGGTATTTAGGAGTTATGTCAGAATAATAGTCCACTTACATCACAAACTAYCAAGACTAGAGAAACCCAGCTCAAACTACTTTAAAGCATCCGAAATAATGCTGTGCTAAGACTTATTTGGACAAACTGGCACAGCAGGCTTTCAAAAATCAGTGCCTGAAAATAAAAATAAAATTAAACAGGTTTTATTCGTTTTGCTTTCCGCACTGAAAAGAAAAAACTAATACACACATCACTGTGAATTTGTTTGTCCTAAATCCTCACAGTTATAATGGGATGTATGATCTGGAATAGAAAATGCTCCCTACTCAGCTGAGAAAGACCAGAAGTGTCCTCCAGGATGCAAATCAGTTCCCTGCACTGGAGAGTTTTGGAGTGGTTCCAGAAATCAAACTCCATATGGATATGTCTTGGTCTCCAGTGGAAAAATGTCCCTGTGAATGCACTTACTAACGAGATTTTATTGAGTTAGAATTTAATTCTAATTTGCTAGACTTTATTTATTATATTAATTATTTACTATATTTGTTAGCATATTAACAGCTAAAATATTAGTGGGGGAAGCAGCAAGGGGGAGATATTTGTTAGACAGCATTTTCCTAGGTACCATAATTAAAYCTTTCCAATCAAGCTGTATTTACTATAAAAGTACCATACCTGATTGCCACGGGCCACTGAATTAATTTGCAAAATTCAGGCTCTACAAGATGATGTTTACTTTAGAAACAGATTCTGCTGCCAGCTGGACTGGATGGGRAGAGACAGTTTGGTAGATCACTCTTTTTGGGGTTTATATTTTATATATTCCTCCTATTCCACCCAAAGCTCCAGGTACAATTGCCATGTAAAAACCCATGACAAAAACCTGAACTGGTTCAGGATTTTTCTATTCATGCAATGCCTCACTTACAGAAAATTCTATAATCAAAATTCATTAAGTCCTGACCCTTCTTTCTCTTCCTTACAAACACTACGATGTTGCCAAGTAACCTTTTTTTCTACATCTTGGCTTTCTTCTCTCATTCAGCAATGCTTGCCTGCTAAGTATTTGAAAGTGAGATACTGAAGGTTATTGTGTCCACTCCATCAATTTATCTTACTCAAAACAGCCCTTCAATGGAAACTTAATAAAAATGGTGTTATTGCCAGTCCTAAAGGCTCAAGTTTTCTTTTCATCCACAGCCACTGCACGGCAAACAGCAATATGAGAGTCTCCTTTGCCACTGCATCCCGAGAGGATTGGACTCTGAAGGTTTTTGGTGACACACTGCTCTGGGCTGTGAAAATCAGCCCTTCTTGCTGGGCTCTGGGCACCTCCCAAACCAGCAGCTGGGGATCACACACTGGCATTTCCAAAAAGCAGATAAAATAATCATTTCAGCCCTGTACAACACCATTCTGCTCAATCAGAGCAGGTACCTAAGAAATTCAACTTAATTCTATACCTTTACAGTGCATCCAGCTAACTTTGACACCCTCCATCACCACCAATAGTTTATTTTTTTTTCCTTCTTGATCTGGCAGACTGAAACACTTCACAGATGATTTGATTACTGCATTTGGAACAGCATCCTCGTGGAAAGATGCAGTAAGTGCTATTTCTGGATAATTGAAATGTTCATAATTAGGATTAACATAGTAATCAGGAAAYAGAAAACAATATAAGATATGTTGCACCTTAGAAAATCAGGCACTTGGCTGTTTTTCCAAAAGTTTATGTAAGGCCCAGAAGGAAATCCCATAAGGCAGTTGAGCAATGAGTGCTTTCTGAGCTCACGACAGTAAYGTAAGATCTGTCACATTTAATGCATTTATGACAAGGGTTCAGCAATCAGAAGGGACGATGTAACCTTCACACACTTCCCTAAGAACCTTGTTGAGCAGATAAATACTTGGCTTTACTAAACTGCCCTTACCACCAGTGGTTYTTGCTCAGAGCAGGATTCCCTCAGYTACAAAYCTTGAATTTACARCTCCCAGGCATTGCTGTGCCTGTCCTGGGCCAGCAGACAGCAAATCTCATCGTGGCTTTTAAAACAAGATATTAAATAAGTGAAAATGAGCAACACAGATGATATCTAGGGGGTTTCTGAACAGCAAAGTGTGGGAGAACGRGKCTCTATAASCCTTGATTSTGAAACTTATGTAATTATTGYGTATGATTGAGGTCTGGGAAAAGAAAGRGATGTTAAYTGCTTACATGGAGGAGGAATGCTGYATYCTTGAGAAAAGCAGATYAGAATGCAGAATTGATAAYGCAGGTAGCTRAAAATTATAARCATTACTAATACTGTAGCTTTTGCAAACTCATCAATTATGTTCTGATTACTAATTAAACAGCTGWCTCTTGACCAATGTATGTTTGACACAAATGTATACTCTGGTTGCTAAAGTGGATAAAAGAGGCTTGTCCCACAATAAASTYCTTCTTTYTTTCTGTTTTTTCACYCACTTTTTGTGTGTTTTGTATCTATTATTTTCTGTCGCTGTTTGGCCAGCAGCGACAGCGAAGCAACGGGGGCTGAATTCAGAAAATGCCACAAGAGGAGCACCTTTGGTTCTGTCACACACACACACAGGTAAAGGATTTGATTTAGGATGTCATGCCAGGGGAATAGAAATGGTAACTGTGGGCTCCAGCCCCAGCCTGCCCCAGTTACACCTCACCAGGATGTCTGAGAAATCAAACTCCTCTGAGACAGGCAGGGCAGTGCAGCTCCTCCAGACACCCCACCTCAAAAAAACCCAGCAAATACACCTTTCCAGAAAGCAGTGAGTTTTGGGTGTAAAGGATGGGTGAGTTCAAACGCTGAAAATAAAGATTTTGGGTTGGTTTTGCAGTCCCTGGGAACACCCAGCCCCACACTCACAGGCTCTGAGATATGCAGACTCCAAATCCCCTCTCGCAGAGGCATTCCCAAGAAACCAATCCATCCACAAAGATGGAATAAAAACCTTAAACATGAAGCCAGGAAAAATATCCAGTTCCTAACACAGAATAAATCACTCAGACGGACAAAACACTCACAGATGCAGAGAATCCCTCAACTCACAGCAGCATCATTCCTCCTGCAGCCCAACACTCTGGTTTTGCTGCCATTGCCACAGGTGAAGAAAAAACCCATAATTTCCCTTTTCCCAGCCTCTCTGGATGCACCAACAGTCCCATGACATACGGGCCCATGTCCTTCCTAGGCTGTGTCACATCATGTGCTGCCTTTTCATCTCAGTAATTACTCCACTGGGTATAGCCAGCACTGAATTTGTGGGTTTATTTTTTATGACATCTAAATTAGTATTCATTATACATCCATTTAAGCACAGACTTCATGTCTGTGTGCTGCAGAAAATCCATGTGTGTCGTTGCACTCACTGTTTTGGGAGTCACTTGSAGACATCCCATCCTATCCCATATTTAAAACATTTCTAGATAGTTTTTAAAAAGCAACCTACTCATATTTCCTGTCAATAGTCATCCTTGTATTTATTTACAGTGTAGCTTCCTTCTGGAAAATTTCATACTCTTCTCGACACTGCTGTTTTCAAAATTTGCAAACCAAATGCTTCTTCAAAGAGCAAATTAGCCTGATATATTTATTTTAGGATTAAAATATTTTCTGCAAAAACACTTTTAAAAGCTTGTCTCTGTGTGCTGTTAGTCCCTACTCCTCACTAAGGCAATAAAAGACAATTCTTTTGAAACAGGAAAACAAAAGCAATATATTTTCTGTATCTTCAGGTTTTTCTTTCTTTGAATGCATGCCTCTGTCTCAACACATGCYCCCTCTGGCATGGAAAATTCAGGAGAAAAAAATGGGATTTTTTGTGAAAACCGCTTGCTGCAGTGCTTAATGTATTTTGTTTCTGTATCCAAATCTTGCAGTTTTGTTATATTCTGATATTTGTTATTTCTCTTAGAGCCAGTCCCAGGTCCTGGAACAGGGTGATCATGT